GCCACAGCTTGTAAACAGACTGTTCAATTTTACAGCCATAAATTAACAAGCAAAACTATTAACAGTAATGTGTATTTCAGAAATGACAATATTTGCTGACAATAAGTTGGACAGGCAAGGGAGCACTCAAGACAAAGTTACTTACTGATCTTTGTCAAACATGCCAATCATTAATCGACAAGTTTCAGGATTAAACTGCGACCAGTTGTTGTTGAAGAGAGCTTGTCGCAATTCCGTGGCAGTTATTTTTCCAGATCTATCCTGATCAACTGTCTGAAACCAAATAAACTTAACAGTCATTATTAAAAACTGGATCATTGGATAATGCAATTCAAGACTTGTTTTTGGCTTAGCGATTATGGTATATGAGCTAATATACCATAATCTACAAATATTGTAAGCATACATGTCAGCTTAAAACTAAAAGGGAGCTAAAAAGTTTAATAAAATTTAACAATTTAATTTAATGTTTTTAATAAAAACAATTATTCCACTTGTGCTTGTTGGATATGAGATGATTATAGCCAACAAGGCGCTATGTGCCTCATTGGGTATCTATTATCTCATATCTAATGTGCGCTCATGGAATAATTGTTAATTATTTGTTTAAAATCATGCAGGTGTGACCATAAAATTAGGCTGGTTGATGGTTACTTTGCAGCTCTGTTCTCCAAATTATCAGTTGAGATCATTATAAATTCTTGTAGTCTTGAAAACTGGAACTTGAATCTTGATCCTAAGGAAAGAAACTTCACTTCTACAAAGCCTCTCTCTATACAAGAGAATTGTAGAATAACCCTTGTATGTTTTGTTTACCTACCGGTATTTCAAGTCTTAAGGAAATTCCCAGCTTTATCTTTTGTAAATTAGGCTTACATGTGCATGTGAATAGGACGGATAATTGAAAGAAATGGGTCTTTGGAGCATTATCACATGAACAGAGATGGGTAACCAAAACATGCAAGCTAAAGAGGTCTATTGTCCCAGTAACCCCAAAGAGATTATTGGGAGGGGGGAACCGCCCCCAAAATGACATCCCATGTAGGGAGAGTACCAACAAAGTGAAGGTAAACTAAAGTAGAGGTTTTGACTACTTTACCTGAAACCATTCCCAGAGGACTGGATCAATTCCAGGGGGAGGATCTGGACGCCCTCCCCAACCTCCTGGATAGCCAGGTGGATACTGTGATGCTGGAGGTGGTGGGCCATATGGATTGTGCTGTTGATATCCCTGTGGTTGACCATAATTATACTGACCACCCTGTTTTGAAGGAGAGAGAAAACTATTCAAGATTTACTGCCTCAGGACAATAATCTTCGCCCTTAGGGTCTTTTTTTTTTAATATTATGAAAAGTAGCTGTTGTACTGTTCTTGTTCTGTTGATTTAAAGGGCTACATCTATTGAAGACAATATTTTGATTGGTTTTTATTTCCTCAGTGACAGTTTTCAACCATATCAACCTTACAGTCCAGTCAAGGTGATGATAAGTTTTGTAAGCCATTTCCTTTTTTTTTTTACGAATTGCAAGGCAAAAAAACCTCTTGTCAGGCCTTTTCTTATAAAATGAATGTACCTTTACCCTAAATTACTCCATGAAAGCTAGTAACACTATCGTTTCATTTCCAACATGCTAAGGTACAAATCCATGATGTTCCCTTTGACAAGACAACCATATCCATCGTGTTTTGGAGTCCCAATGATCTCATTTCTTACATATTACTTATATTTGCCGGGCTGTTGTACCCTATTATGACAGCGATTTCTCTGTAATGTAGAAGCAGATAATAGTAGGGTTCAACTACCACAAGTTTCATTAAACATTATGCAAGTGAAAGAGTTGTTTTCTTTACTATTAGGTGGTTTGCGCGTTACATCATTGCCGCCATGTTGGTGGACCTAAACGCTAGATATCTCATTAGCTTCTTTTGTTCGTCCACCAGCATTTGTTCCTTTCACCATTGTTACCCGTGTCTCTAGAGATTGGTTGCAAACCACCTATATCTCAGTCTTTCTGTCAAACGAGAAGCATGAAAGCCTGTAATTAAAATGCGCAATCTTTCATGTGCTACAAAAATGAGATCCAGACACTTATTATTTCTCTCACCATCTAAACCACTTCGCAAAAGAAAAACAGAACACATAACGAAACAAAAAATGTAATCCAACTTGGTGTGGGATGAAAATTGTCCTATTAGCAATATATCCATCGATTGACCTAAACGAATGCATTTGAGTTGTCAACTGCCAGCTTGATTACAATCTTAGTAATCCGTGGATTAGCGCCAGTATTGTAACCGACTGGTAAGTAAAAAGGTTTGTTTATGGTCCATAATACACAAAAGTAGTTAATGATTAGAACATAACTGAACGAAACGACTTTTTGACTAAACAAGAGCGAGGTACATTTGTCTCCCGGAAGAAGTAAACTAAACGCGCAACGATGCTTCAAAAACATTCAAAGAATTCGTAGCAAAAGCAAGAACTTAAAAAGTATTTAAAAATACGTACATAGGCTGGATTATAACCAGGCTGGTGTCCCGGAGGAGGTTGATTCCACGCCATAAAGGTAAAGAAAATGCTACAAATTGAGCTAACCAACTGTCGAGACGCCAGGTATGAATATCAAGGAGCAAAGGAGGTACCCTACAGGGGAGGAGAGGGAAAATCCATTCTTGATATCTAAACAATGAAGCTTATTCAGACATTTCACTCTTTTAATCCAGTTTTAAACAATAAAAACAGCGAAATTTTTCTACGAGGAATCCGAGGAAACAAAAGGCCTCTTGAGATAAGTAATTATGGATAATTGAAATGTGCATGGGCATGCCCTCCTATCCCCAGACGATTAGACCAAACTTAGAACCCAGCCTTCGTCGGCAGCACATGCCTGGTTATTTTCTGTACACGAAACAACAGAAGAATGAACTGAGTGTAGTACGCAAAAATAACAGTTAGCGTAAACGTGGTCTGATAAATGGAGCAAAAAGACGTGTATTACAACAAAGCAGAATATATAGAAACTGTAAGTGTAACAGATGTTGATTAAAACCCCACAAGATTCAATTTAGGCGTGTTCTAGCATAGCCATGGGGAGGCTTTCTCGAATCTTCTTGCTGGGTTAAACTTGTTTATTTGTTACTCAGGCATCAGGAAATAAAGTTAGCCGTCAGTCAGTTCTGTGTGGGAGTCAAAATATTGTTTTAAATGGAAAGGTAAGTCTTGAGAAATCGTAGTTACCATTCATTACCATCAGAAGTGATTTAAAGTTGTTTGCTGATCAACAATCTCTCTTTCAGACAATCATTCAATCAGATTGTATTCTACGTGGAGATCTTGCAAATGTCAGAATCGGAAGACAATGTGTGATCAGTAAAAGAAGTGTTATAAGGCCGCCATTTAAGAAATTTAGCAAAGGGTTTGTGTTGTTTCCTCTGTTATCATACTGTGCTGCTATCAACAGTTTGGCTCATCCTCGGTGTAAAAACCTGTGAAGCTCACGAGTGACCTAAAACAAAGACAAAAAAACATTATAAACAATAGCGCACAGCAAAACAGTACCTCATGAAACAAAGAAAACCTCATCAGGTTTTTACACCGAGGATGACCCAACCTTCTACACCCTAACATCAGTATGCATATTCTACATACTGTTCGTTTTGCATTTTTCTGCTGCTCATAAGTATAAATTAATTTGGATATATCAACAAAGTTGAAATGGTAAATTGGCCACGGTAATGATTACAAAAGCTGACGTTTCAAGCGTTAGCCCTTCTTTGTCGCTCCGACAAAGGGCTAACACTCGAAACGTCAGCTTTTGTAATCGTTACGGTGGCCAATTTACCATTTCAACTTTGTTGATATATCCAAATTATTTCGTTACTCCCACCGATGCAGCCCCAAACAGTTTCATTCGAAACTATCAGCCTTTATTCATAAGTATAAATTGTTTAACAATCAAGAGCTTCTTTAGTTTGTGATCATTTTCTTTATTTTCATGACCTTAATGTGTGATTCACAGGTGATATTGTAAGGAGAAATTAGATGTTATATTATTCACTCTAAAGGGTTAAAAGGTCAACATTTTTGCCTTAAGAACTTATAAGATTTTTGCAATTATTAGGGTAGATAGCTTTTTTTTTTTACAACTGAATGGCTTGTTTCTCAAGTGTTAGAACTATTAAATGGTATCCTAAAGACTTTATTGATCATGCTTTTGTTCTGAATAATTGTATTTAGAGTTGCATTCTTTCCCCTCCATATTGGAGATCATGTTATTATTGAAGAAGATTGTGTCATCAATGCTGCACAAGTTGGTTCTTATGTCCACATAGGAAAAAACTGTGTAATTGTAAGTTTATATTTTAAAATTTGTGTTCTATATCGTAAAGTACAACATTTCTTCTAGATAAACTTTTTTCTTGATAACAATACCTGCTTTTCAATAATACTGGTATATGGGTTATGGGTCTTCCTAAAATGCAACTTTTGAACTTACAGCCTGTGTTTAATTTGTCTCAATATATTATATTGGGTTTAAATGCCTTCATGTTTTTCAAGATCATATTTCATCATAAGCTGATATGGTACTATATTGGTAATAGATTTTCTTCAACTGAAAAAGAAAGGATGAAGCCACATGTTTGAAGTCTCTATATGTATATTTCTAGAATTTTCTTCAACTGAAAAAAAAAAGATGAAGCCACATGTTTGGAGTCGCTATATGTATATTTCTAGAATTTTCCTCTACCATGTGTTAGTGACCTGGACTTGTCCCCCCTCAAGAATTTTATTGACACATCTTATTGACACAATCAACCCTTGAACTTCATTTTACAATTCCGACAGAAAATGTTGAATCCAAATTTCATACCATGCTGCTCCTCTCATTTTATAGAAGGGTTATTTTAAAGCATCAAATCAAAACTGTCTAAGATATACAATTCAAAACAGAATTGGAACTTCTTTGATTAAAGGATTATCATTTGTCTGTTTGATGTATCTTTAAGGGTCGCCGAAGTGTACTAAAAGATTGTTGTGCTATAGCTGATAACACAGTCCTCCCCCCTGAAACTGTTGTTCCACCCTTTACTCTATATTCAGGCTCCCCAGGTAAGTAACTTTTTTTATCTGTCTAACCATAGTTCCCACAGCAACTAATTTGAACTGAACATGAACCTAATTTTTCTGATGGAACATGATTGGTTCATTGATAAATGCAACTTGAGTCTTACTTGCAATCAAATCTCAGAAAAAACAGACCAACAGTTTGATCAACTCACAGCTTTCAAATAAATCCTCACTTGACCCTGATACTGACTTTTCCTCAGATTAAAAAAACTTAAGCATCAATCAACAACAACATTCCTTCCATGACTACTTTCACCTGCTTGTTCAAACTATAATTTTATACAGCACACCGGTACTTCTTCATTATAATAAAATCATGCAAATGTCATCAATGATTAGTTTGTATTCATAGGGGAATTCCCTTTGGAAACCCTGGAAAGTAGTTGTTGATATTTGAACACAAACAATGATCTCCTCAAGGGGATATTGATTTTATGAGTGTTCTGCCACACTAACCCCTTACAAGTTCATTGTATTACCCAGTTTGTTCTGGATGCCTTATTCTCCAAAAAAATGTTCCTGGTTTTTTCATAGTTTACATAATTTATCAATTGAACGTTAAAGCACAGATCAGCAAAGTAAAGACTTTAGAAAGATGTTTTTGTAACCCTTTTACTCCCAAGATCTGATTGTTAATTCTCCCCTCTAGTTGCTACACATTTCTTAGTAAATTGGTTACAAGAATTTGGTGTTAGATCAGGACAACAGCATCTACCTGATTGTTTCAGTATTCTCATTACCTGTTTGCTGAATGATGTACGGATATGTCAGGGAGAAGTTGCATGCTAATCACTTTTGGTAGTTAAAGGGTTAATGATAATTATTGTAATGAAGTGAAATAACTCACTTACTTTCCTTTCTTTTCAGGTGTTTTTACAGCAGAATTACCTGAATGTATGCAGGAAATTATGACAGAGAAAACAAAAGACTATTACCAACACTTTTTGCCCATTTCAGAAGAGAAATGACCATTAGATGACAACATAGCCTATCTATTCAAACAATTAGGCAAGATTTTGTGGTTGTAAAGATACAAAACGAAGGTGGAGGGTTGCGGGCTTTGTGAGCAGTGAATGACCATAGTCTTGTAGATCAGGGGTTTCCTCTGTTCATTAGTTTTTGTGATAATTAAATTATGGAATGTAAATCATTAGCCACAATAGCTGTAAGTCCTGTGAGGAATGGTAATGGTTTCATAGATGTAGGGGGGTTCTTTGAAAGTTGTGTTACTGGTATTCTTAACACCCAATTACAGAAAGTTTTAGTGACAATTGAGTGATTAAGGAAAATAAATTTCAAAGTGTAAGGTGCTTGTCTCCATATTCTGCTAAGTTTATGAATTAGACATTTTAAAAAGGATTATTTTACAAGCTGCTAGTATAATTCATCTGTATGACTCCTTTTTCTCTCTGACTAATACAGAATGATGTTAGCTATGATATTTTTGATGATTTTGTTGTACAGGAAAGGAATAAGTTAATCTAGTAATAAAAAAAAAGTATTTATTTCTAAGTAATTTCACAAGGAACTCAAAGTGATGTACAAGAAGACAGCTAATGACAGGGAGTGTTGTGCAAAGAGGCCTGATTCTCTTTTTTTCCCCCATAAACTGCAAGAAGCAAAAATGATGGCGGAAAAACTGATAGGCAGACATTATTTAATGGCAGGATGCTGCATAGAATTCGTATGAGCTTAGTGATGTGTGATTTTCTTGGGTTTGCAGCTGGGTTGTGCCAGACTGCTCAAACTGTAGCATAGTGCACAACCTCAGTGAACAATATTGTAGGCCCATTGTACCTCTGAATGGACTGGGGAATTTGGCATGGTTGAAAATTGTCATGTGGAAAATAACAGCCAATCAGAGCATGGCATTTTATAAATGAACTCTACCAAAAAATAAGATGAAAGTTACTAAGGTGGTCATTGGCCTATAAAAAGGGTTGTTATATCTGTAAGCAAATGCATAGTGAACAACAAGGGGTCACATTTGATAAGCAGACACCCACTTAGCAGAACTGATTGTTCTTTTTTTTTTTTGACTTGAGTAAAATTAAAAAAAAAAAAATTATACACCATGTAAGCTGTTTGGTTTACTTTCTTGGCTTTATCCCTGTACACCCTAGCATCAGTTTGCTTATTCTCCATATTGTCCTCTACACATTTCATGGTACACTATAAATGAACCCTACTAAAAAATAAGATGAATGAAAGTTACTAAGGTGGTCATTGGCCTATAAAAAGGCTTGTTATATGAGTAAGCAAATGCATAGTAAAACAACAAGGGGTCACATTTGATAAACAAACACCCACTTAACAGAACTGATTGTTTCTTTTTTTTCTTTTGAGTTTTTAGGTATAATAAAAATAAATTTTTCACCATGTAAACTGTTTGGTTTTCTTTCTTGGCTTTATCCCTGTACACCCTAACATCAGTTTACAAAATCTCTATACTGTCCTCTACACATTTCCTGAGGTGTTGACAAGGAGAATTTGTTTAACCATCAAGAGCTTGGTTTATAGGGGATGGTCACTTTTATTCTCATTACCTTACTGTGTGATTCAGAGATGATATTGTATGGAGAAATTATCTGTTGGTCATTTTTAGGGGGCAAAGGGTTCACTTTGAAGGCTGAGACCCAGTTGGGTTTATCATTTCTAAAAGCAATCAAATTTAATTAATTAACAACTGACGTTTGGTGTTCACATGGCCTCATTAGAAGGGGTAGAGGTGGGAAAGTTTGGGACAGTTATGTTGACCCGAGACACTATTGAGGGTTTGCATAACTTCATTAGGGAGATCATTCTGTCTTTTGTTGTTGGATAGTTAGCATCATTTCCTTTATAACACCTTGTACCACACTTATAACAATTATATCAAGAGAATGTACAGACCCCTTTGATTTGTAAAAAACGTGGGTTTTTGCCTTAGCAGTGTTATGATATTTGATCCCTTTGCTTCGCGTTTCCATTTCAATTCCACGTTCCCTATCTTCCCCTTTCTCTATCTACCAGTCCCTCGCAAATAAGTATTCCTTCAATATGGCGGACGCTGTCAGTGGTTTGCGTAAGTTTACTACGGATTTATCACTATACGAAAAAGGAAGACCAGAATACACACAAGAATCTGTTAAATTTCTCCTAAATCGTGTTGGTGTACTACCCTGGGACAGGAAGGAGTCCATAAAACTTTTAGAGATTGCCTCTGGAACCGGAAAATTTACGCGAGCAATGGTTAAGGTGCTCGAGGGAGAAAAAGCTAATGTGGAAGTCATTGCCAGTGACTCTCAGGAGGTAATGTGCGACACGTTCCGACGTCTAGTCCCTGGTATTGAGGTACATCGCTTCCCGGCAGAAAAAATTGGTAAGGTATAATCCGTCTAATCCACGCCATCATGATGCAGCTTTCTATTTAATTTGAATTTGAAGATCCAGGGGTAAATTTTACCCCTGGATCTTCAAATTCAAATTAAATAGAAAGCTGCATCACGCAAGCATTTTGATTGGCTATTACTTATAATCTGTTGCATGCAAAACACTAAATTTGGTATGTGGAGGGCAACAAGTCAAATAAAGCATATTATCCCATTTGGGTACACGGAGCTTCTTCATTCTTCGTAGCAGTTTGTAAGTAACGTGTCTTGCGTAAAATTACTGTGTAGCTGTAGCTTAGTGGTAGAGCTTCGGATCTTAGGGGTCTTTCACTCGCTACTCACATTTTGGAACGTACATGTACCAGTATTTTTTTTCAAGAGCTCAATGATTTTTATAATAATAATTTGATATTTATCTTGCACAAATTAACATGTGGATATGATCAAATGCACATCACAACACTTTTCTGGGGACTTTGGTTGGACTGTATCAGCAGTTTACAAACAGTCGAAGGAAGCTTGTGTGGAGATGCCCCCTCCCCCAGTTCCCAGTAAACGGGCCAGACCACATCACAGTAATCTCGTGAGTGGGTTCTTTAACGTCCCCTGCCTAACCAAATTAACTAATAAATAGATGTAGGAGATGAGACCTACGGTTTATTCGTCCTTATCTGAGAAGACTAGAATGTCTATCCATGTCTTGAAAGGTAGCGCATTCTCCTCAGTTATTTTAAGACCTTGAGTGATGGTCCAGCCGGGGCTCGAACCATTGACCTCGACCTCCCGCACAACAATCCAGAGCTCTAAACAATTGAATTAACCGGGAGGCTGTTTATTGCCTTGTAACAGGGTCATATGCTACCTTCCCCCCCCCCCACAGCCACACCCCTAATGGGTTAGATTGCATTACCTTGCAAAATGTACCCCATAAGAACAACTGGCAAATTCTCAATTCCCCAACCTTGCAAAATATGGCAAGTTTTGAGGGTCTGTTTGGAGGCCATCATATAGGCGGATTCATGTTGACGTCATTGTTTACATTTTTGCTCATTTGCATACGGCTTTGCGTGAAGAAGGAAGCATGTTAGATACAAATTGACTTCAGGCAGCTAAAGAGCTAGAAAACCTTAGTACATGGTGAACTTTTTAGCTCTTTGGGTGTAATATTCAAGGGGAAATAGTCAATCAAAAACTGCAAAATTTCTGGGTGGCAAAAGCACTAATGAGCTCATACATTCTATGTAAAATTTTGAGTTTTTAAACCTGTGTTGCACAAAAAGTATTCAATGCATCAGGCTCGTATTCATTGACTGAGTTAATTGTACTTTGACCTTTCGATATTCACAACTGATTTATTTTTAGCTCCATCAGAAACTGAATTGCTTATGCTAATGAGGTAAATATTGTAAACATGGATTCCCCTATACACACGGTCATAATAATTTGAATTTTTCCTGCATCAACCTCATTTCCAGGTTCTTTCTTATCAGAATGAGGATGTTAAAGTGAATTATTTCAATAATTGTCACTGTTAAACCTGTCAAAAGCATGGTGAAAAGATTGGCAAAAGTAGCTCCCTATTTAGTTTTTTCCCTCTGTGCTACCCTTCTTGTTTGAATCATTCATTGATTGACTAATGTTTAACTTTCAGCACTGCCAGATGAAAGCATTCCAGTAATAATTTGTGCACAATCATTTCACTGGTTTGCAAGTGAAAAGTCTGCTGCTGAGATTTGTCGAGTTCTGAAGCCTGGAGGGAAGTATGGCATGATTTGGAACCACAGAGATTTATCTGTTCCATGGGTGAGAGCCATGCAAGATATTGTTGATCCGTTTGTGAGACAAAAAGATATGCCAGGTGATCCTAGAGAACTAAAATGGATGGAAAGTTTAAATAGCTCTGGGAAATTTACCTCTGTAGAAAGGGACACCAGCTGTAGAACATATGTGGAAGGCAACATTGATAGAATAATGTCTGTGATCATGTGTATCAGTGCAATCAGCCAAAGCAGTGAGGAAAAGATAGCAATGGTCAAATCTGAGATTAGTGATATTCTACTCAACCACCCTGATTTAAAAGGAACACAAGTTTATAAGCTACCTTATATCACAGATATCTGCTGGTGTACTAAATTATGATCAGACTTCATGATTGTGGTTAGTGTTTGTTAAACAGTAACACAAGGTACAGTAGACCAGCAACTTCAGGCTTGTAAAGAAAAATGAAAGCTTCGGTGGAATATAGTGTGATAAGTGGATAAATTAATTTTTCAGTATTTAACTTGAATGAATTATGGCTATTAATAAGCCCATGTTTTTTCACTTATTTTTGATTAAGGAAGGCTAACAGCCTTTGGATTATTCAGATTATGTATGTTGATTACCTTGGTCTCAAATTCTCGTATACCAGTCATAATTTAGATCAAGGTAGATGTACTGATAGGTAATCAGCTAATTACAACAATTAGGATATGTTAGAAAGTGAATTATAAAGTCATAGTTCGAATTGGTAATTATTGTTTGGAAAATAAACATGTCTATCACCAGAAAGATTTGACTATGTATTGGTGCAGCAAAATAATACATCTGGAATGTTTGATCAGGATAAAAAATATTGAAATCGCGAGCCAACTGACATTGAGATTTATCACAAGGATGAACTGAAATACAAAATTGATTAATTACCCTATGTCCACACTCTCTAAATACCACCCTCCAGTGAGTATCTGCCCACCCCCCAAGGTCAATAATTTAAACAAGCACCCCTCCTTCCTCCTACACTTTCTGAAAGGGTAGGGGTAGAAAGAAACCCTGTTTCTATTGGGACTTTATTTATAACTTTTTAAAGCTCTAACGATTGCTGAATTACTACAGGTTAATAGTTTGTTAAGAAGCACCTCCCCCCCTTTGTTTAGCACCCTTCTTCCAATGAGCACCCCTTCTTTTAGGTGAAAAATTAAGTAGGTGCCCGGGTGCTCTGAGGAAATAAGGTATAATAGTTATAACAAGGTACTGTACAGTTAAAAGTGGATATATACAATTCAAATAGCTGTCTTGTAGACTCAAAACGCTCACGAACAGTTGTTGTAAAACCAGTACTAGTTGTGGGAATTGTGAAGGAAAAGAGAAGTACTGTTGTGTGATCTGCAAGGAAAATCGACAAATGGTAAACACCACAGGATGGACACAGGATGGATACGTGGGAGGTTGCTAAGCATGAAAGCGTAAGAGTCGCGTGAGGCGATAGCTGACAGCGACTCTAGCTTCTTGAGTGCTTGGCAGACCTCCCAAGTGCATCCATAACTCAGTAGTGTACACTGTGGCATTTACCATTTGTTTTATAACATTGATACATTGTAGCAAAAGAGTTTTCTTTTATTTAACAAATCTTACGTGACCAGAAAAAACAAGCGCGCGCAGAAAACTAGTCTTTGCATTTGCTCACGTCAGCAGTGTACACCCATGGGCAAATGACAAATGTTCAATTGACCAATCAGAGTGCACGCTTTACTTTGGGTATGTTATAAAGGGTTTTGGTTCAATGTTACTACAGTGAGCGCAACTCTGGAACATGTAGAGACATAGCTAACTGACCCTGGGTATCGAGATCAAATGCATTTGACAACAGTATTATAATTGCATAAAAAAGAACCAGTCCTGGTGAGCATGTAAGCTGCTGTGTAAAAATACATGTGGCATCTAATTACAATATATTGATGAATTATATTCACACTTGGTCTCTGTCATATTTACAGCAGTTTTTACATACAACAAGTGTGTACATCACTCCATAAACACGTGAACCTCCTTTGAAGTCTTGCTGTTTACAGATTATGCAGCTACTTTTAACAGGGAGCCTTTGAGGTCATTTACCAAGTTAGACCACAAAGGCAACAGATTGGCATTTCAAAACATTTCCAGAAAGGACAACATCAAAACAAGAAAGGTTTCTATTCTTTGCATTTTTGCAGACTCTGCCAGATTTTTATCCTCTTAATTTACACAGCAATGTAACAAGAGAGTTACTTGACAGCCATGATATACATTTTGGTGGAATATGCTCACTTGTAATATGTTACTTGTAAGTTTGTGAGTGTGGTGATGGGTATGATTCTGTGTGTTTAAATCAGTGTAATTGTATTTTTTAGAGTCATGTTTCGAGAATTTTCATGGTAGTTTACCTTTCACCAGGTTACTGTTTTGCTGTTGTCTTTACAAGATTATGTGTTTGTTTTCACAAGAGTTTTCTGCAACTATCTATGAAAAGTAATTTCAGCATTTGCTGGACATTAAGGTGAGATCCAGTTAGATCATCCTGTCATCCAAATAGTCATGCTTTGCACACAAACTTCACTTTTCCCTCTCCTTCCTCTTCAGTCATACAGGCTACATCTAGTTGTACTGTACCATCTTTTCATTCCATCTTCCAAGTATAGTGATGTGCTGTTGGGAACCCCAATACTGGTTCATTTAACCAAATAAAGTTAGGCCCTGACATTCCACATCAAAATTTCTGATTGGCTTGTTGAACACAGTAGTTCTCCAGATGGTGCAAACCTAACATTGCTAACACCATCACAGTGTCCCGTGAAATCCTGAAAGCTTCCTTCATTGTAGTCCATCAGTTTGACCAATCGCTCTGGAAGAAGACCAAAATAGGTTATTATAGTGAGCTTCTCATTGATAACTGAGTTACTATAAGAGATACTATTCCAGCTTGCAATTTACAAACTTTTTTTGTGTTCTTCTAACATCCCATGGGGGTTTATTATGCCTGCAAACCAATAGTCAGTGTGATCTATTGCTTAAACATGAAGCATTTCCATTGTTATCGTACCTGGGCAAAAGGAGAACCCATGGCTAGAAAAGTCTCTTGTGAGTATCTGTACAAGAGGGGCAAGGTTGGGTCCTGTAGCACAGGGAGTTGTGCATGTGGCAGTGCATGGTTTATGCAAATTTTCATCCTGAAAATGGTATTGCTTGAATATTGCACAAAAGTTAGATTAAATTTTCCAGGAGTGTAAATAATTTTGCTTGAGATCAGACTTTGCCATGGGTTTTGACTAGAATTTCACCACAGTGCCTTTCAATTACCTTTAATGCTGCTCACTTGAAAAAAAAAATTGTAACCAAGACTACCTTCTGTTGCAAAAGCAATGAGATGTCCCTTAGGTGATATGTCAAGGGAGGTCACCCACTGAGTCAGTGCAGCAGTACGTAGAACCTGACAAGAGACAATAATTATCAGGATAAGAAAAAGTTTCCCATCACACAGCTAAACAATACTGAAAACTGAAGGTACCTAATAAAAGAGGCACTCCACAACAGTAGTCTTTAAGAATCGTCTAATTGTACAGATAGTAAACAAAAAATGAACATGCAAAATTCCTGATTTAGTAATTTTAATTTCAGTATTTAATATCAAACATCACAACAAAGCTCTAGGGAATAAACCAGTAAAGTAGGTTGCTGCTACCCAAGACCTCGTGCTAAGGTCTTCATGTTTGTGATCAAGATGGTGGGAGGGGGAAAGAAAGGTGGGGGGAAAGAAAGGTGGGGGGAAGAAAGGGGGGTGAAAGAAAGGGGGTTGAGTTGCTAAAAAATATTTTAGATACAAAACATACAATTTTTTTCTTTGTGAGGAAGAAGCAAACAAACAAAAAAGAAGCCCCGAGTCAATTAATTTGTGTTGATAACAGTACCCAAGAGTGAGACAGATGGTACATTTTGAGCTTGGGAAATTTTTGTTTTCATACAAGCATAGAACAAAGGAAAAGTCTAATGATAAATTATATAGTCATTATGGTACCTTTTTCTGAGACAGACTGTAAAACTGAACAGCTTTCTGCATGCCATAGCCAGTGTAAACAATAATATCAGGGTCTGTGGGAGAGAACTGGGCCAGGCTTGGGGGCAGCTGTGAGAAGTGGGCCTGGTTTAGGGGATGTTCATCAATGAATAAGCATCACAACAAGGAAATGTCACTCTCTGACTTGTAGCATGATGAAGTGACAGCAAACAGTTATATATAATTACTGATTTTTTGTAATGGTATTATTTTCCCCACTGGTCAGGGCTTTTATAATTTAAACCCAGTCTGATCATTTGGGTTGGGGAAGTACTGACATACCCTGCTGTGAGTAACAGTGACTAAGGTTTCATCACTGTCAGTGGAAGTCAACATCAGAGTCAAGGGACTGATGACAACTCTCATTCTTTTAAATACTCACAACAATCCTTGTTAAGACCCCTTTCAGCTGAATGGCTACACTTCAAGACACATCACCCTCTCTCCTCCTTTGGGCATTGTGCTGAGCAAGCGTAACTAACAGTTCTAACAGTTTTCTGTCACTTGTACTGTTACACTGTTACAAGGAGGTCCTCAAGCCGATGATTATACCAACAACCACCATGACAACAAGTATGAGGTTACCATAAATAACTTTTAAAAGATTTTTATGTTTTTATTTGGCATACAGGGTCTCCTCTCTTGAAAGCTTGTCCATCAGGTCCAAAGGGTGGGGCAGGGAATGTCAGCCAGTCCACTAACTCACAGAAGTCTTTTGACCAGTCAGCACTCCAGATACTGACACGGCGATCAGCACTTGCTGCTAGCCACAGCAATGGGGATGACATTGGGTACTGTTGATCCTGCAGTGGTATAAAGAATAAAAAAATTCACCAAAATATTTAACAATGGAATGCTAACTCTTGTATATATCAGTTAATCATCAGAAGAAACATAAATGTATAAAAACTGGGGTTAAATAATATAAGAAAAATCACAACCTATTTTAAGTAGTAGTTAACTTGTAATTCATTATCAGTTGGTGAATTTTCCTGAGGAATCTCAAAATATAACTTAAGTTAATTTGGTCTTCAGTAGCTGAAAGTCCAGTGATCAGTGGCAGTTCTGCATATATAATACAAAATACACAAAACAATGCAATGTTCCTGAAAAAACTCTAAGGAAATTTCAGTTCACCTTAACAGATGAAATATGAATGCATGTGATTGGTGCACCCCTGTGATCATTCAGAAGCCTCACTGTCAACCCTGTGGAGGGACTACTAATAGCCAGCAAACCATCTTCCGCGCCACTGATAATCACCCTTCCTGTAACAGTTACATTGCATTCATAAATTACAGAGTGTTAAAGGTTAACTTAGTCACAAGCATAACTCAGCATAAGTATGTTGCTGTCTTCCTCTTTTTCAATAACAGGCACATCAAACCCTTACCCAATGTATCCCAAACATCCCTAATACCTTGACATTCAAGAAAACTGCCAAATGATTGTTAAAATCATATTATCCATGTATTAGACAAAGTGTAAATCTAGAAACCAGAAGCAACACAAAAATATTTTTTGGTGTAACGATGCACAGTAATATAATGCATACTCTTACCATAAGATGAGAATGCTATTGCTCTCACTGCAGCAGCATGAGGCTGCATTTTCATGACCATTTCCACTTTACCCAAATCAAATATTCTGATGGTTCCATCACTGTATCCAGCTGCACAATGTGACGGGTGAATGTCAGTCTCATCATTAGGTTGAGGCTGTGGGTGGACAGTTGCAATAGTCTGTCCCTCTTTTGTGACTGATTTTGTGGGAGTGGCAGTTGGTACTGGACTGAAGGACACACAGTTGCAAGTCTGGAAAAAATTTGGTTGCTGATAAAGCCACAAATTTAAGGCTCCTTTTTTTACTTTCATCTAAATATATATGCTTTTTTCTGTATGTACACTAATTTTACTTTCTGAACATCCAAGTTTGCCTCTTTTTATTTTTTTAAAAAACAGCAAAATGCTTTCCCTTTGTAGTGGATGCAAGGTTTGAAAATTGGGAAAATCAATAGGGGAATATCACTTGAAGCTCACAGTTTTCCTTAAGTTTTGCTCACTGAAAAGTGTTCCCTTCTTGGAACAGATAATGTCTGAGAAAAACTATACAAGCATATTTTGGCATCAAATGGAGACCATTATTTACATATTCCAACAGTTTCAGGTGAGGCAAATTTTGGTCCCATAAACCATTTAAATCAATAACATCATGATGCCAGCCAAAATGTGATGTCCAGATCATTATTATTACAGTACCAAACCAATCCACAAATAAGCAATAATTTGTAGAATTATACCTGTCCAACAACTTGAAATTGAAGATGTTCCAAGTTGTCCTTGCTCCAGAGATGTAGGATTCCATCAGTGCTACATGTTGCAAAGTATTGGTCATCTGGACCACTGAAGAGTAAGTCATTAATCTATGAGCAGGAAAAATGGTGAATTATCATTGAAAATGTTTTTCAAAACTGGAAATACAAGGTTCACCATTTAACTTGGAAATCACAAACCAAACTATCAGGAAGAATGAATGATCAACAATGAGTGCAGGACTTCTTGTAAAACCCAACAGTAAGAAAGGCTTACCATCTGTGCATGGCCACTGACCAACCTGATACTAGTTCTTTCATCCCAGTTGACATACCACAATGTGCCAGATGATGTACCAATAATGCCCTTTTAAAATAAAAAAACATAAATGCAATTAATGGTAATTCTGCACAGCAGCATGAAATCAACAGGAGGTGTAAAAAAAAAAGAATGAAACTTACAGTTTCCAATGCTTCATCAAATGATGCAGAAATAATGGCTCCGTCGAGTGTCATTTCATCTTCCATAACTAAACCATTGCTGGACAATCTAAAATCACGACAAATTCATAATTTACTATTTTACACTAAGTGTTACTGTTAAATGTAATGGAAACTAGGAATTGGAGAGATCTTTCCATGACTAAAGTAAAGGAAGGCAAATTGGAGCTGGTATAAAATTAGGTAAATATTGTCCTGTGTTAGCCAAGAGCACTGCACCACACTTTATTTTACCTGGTGGCATCTCCAGGACGTAGCATCTCACTCACTCCCACCACAGACCACAGTCTGAGATTTCCTGAGGTGCTGCCAGCAATAAGAGTACCACCATATCCCATGAGCATACCTAAAATGATTTCATCATGTTTTAAAAAGTCAGACAATGTTTGATATGCAATATGTAAGTTTGGTTGTCACTGATTTACAACAGCATGTTGAGTTTGCTTCCACCTTCAGGAAGCTGCCTCATACTTCAAGGATCATGATTACAGTACATATAGGTACTCTCAACCAATATATCAGTTGACATATCAGTTGAGAGTTGGTCAACACTTGACTGATATGTCAGTCAACACCTGCTTGACACTCAGTCCATAGTTGGTTGACACTCAGTCAAAAGTTGGCCAATACTCAGTTGATATTCTATAGTTGATAATCTCAACTGATATATGGACTGACTATTGACCAAGTGTCGACCTGGTATGGACCAACTATCAACCAACTATTGACTGAGTGTTGACCAACTATTGGCCAAGAGTCCACTGAGTGTTGACCAACATATTGGTCAAGTATTGACTGACTCTCAACCGGTATACAGTGGAATCCCGATTTCTCGAACCCTTGGTTTCTCGAACGTCCCGATATCTCAAACCAAACCTTGTTTCCCTTGGATTTGCTTTAATGTCTTGTAATTTCACCACCAATTTCTCGAACTCCCAATTTCTCGAACCAATTTGCATTTCTCCGGGAGGTTCGAGAAATCGGGATTCCACTGTATATCAACTGATATACCAGTTGAGAGGACCTACGGTGAACATTATCCAACTTCAAAGCCCATGTGACATGTGCTTGCACTCCTTCATTTCACTGAAAGTTAGATTTCTCTCACGCCATTTTCTAGATTCTACTACACCTGCATACCAATTTCAGTAGAGTCTCCTTCCCAGTGAATAAAGCACTTGTTTTGCCTGGTGTCCCAGGCAGATAACATTCCTGTTAAAACAAACTCACATTTTACCTACTGCCTTTAAACCCTCAAACTCCAAAGAGTGACTTATGTCCATTTTCTACAATTAATATCAGCCCTGGATCACACTTGAACTTCAAAAGCATAAAGGAAATGATCAACAACTAAAGAAACTTTTGATTGTGAAACAAATTCTCCTGGTCAGTAACACAGGAAATGTATGGGGAACAGTGTGAAGAATAGGTATACAGATGCTGGGGTGTAGAGGTTCAAGTGGTCAAGAACTCTGATGTTTACATGGCAAACAATGACTCCGCCCAGCACAGTAGGCCATGGCGGAGCTCAGAGCAAGACCACAGACAATTCAGGTCCTGCATCTTCTTAAACTAAACCTTAAGAGACAAAGGGTAGAAGTACTTTGTTCAAACCTGGAAAACAATGCAACAGTAATTCCTCTAACTTGGCTAATAAGTCAATTGAAGAACAGTTTTTTCAAACAGAAGAAGTAGTTTTGCAATCACAAGTGACAAGGAAATACATTGCATTACAACACCCACAGGTGTTTAATGTTTACACTTTTAACAAAATCACTGCTGGATGTTTAAATACCTGAGCTTGTACCAGCATACATAGTACTGTCTCCTACATACCAAACAGCAGTGAAATCATTGTACTCATCTCTCTAAGAAGAAAATTTCTTTTAATTAGTTAATTCTTTTGAAGGATTTGGTTATTGTCCAATTTAACTAAACAATGTTCTTTGGGATCCTTTTTCCCAGCAGGTTCCCTGGAGTTCTATTAGAGCTCTTAAAGAGTTATAAAACCGAAGTTAAAGAAAGTAATTACATTGGCCAAATAAAAACATGCAACTATTTGGGAGATAAAAAAAAAAGGAAAAAACTAAGCTACAGGTACAGCAGCTAAATAGTTCATAGCCTTGGAAAAACTCATGTTACCGAGAAGACAAACAAAAGCAAAAATTAATGAACTAAACTTACAACTTTCTTGGACTGTATAAGTTCATCTGGAACCTCTGGCTCATGAACCTAAACATCAATGAAGAAGTATTTGTTGCACTCAAAATATTTTGGTTTCTTAAAAAGCTTTGTTTTTTCTTATCCCTGACTCTTATGAGTGCTGCATGCGCAGTTGGGCAAGAGGGCACACAGTGTTTGGGCTGATCACATTACCAAACAGGTTGTAATTACTGTTTGGTAGGGAGAGGTGAAGTTACTATTAAGTGAAAGCAGATTGTCTGAGGGAAATGTTGCACTTAATTCTGATTACAAACCCTCTCCAAGTTTTAATTTAATTTAATTTATTAGATTCGCCGACAGGCATGGACACTGCAACAGCTTGCGCCATTTACTGCAGTCTCAGTACACCCACTCATCTCACCCCAGGGGAGGACATCCACCACACAGTAATCTCGTGCGTGGGAAATTAAC